TTTTCTTCCCCCCTCCCTTCTTCCCGCTTTCCCTTCCTCGCACCCGTACAAAAAAACCGTGTGGCCCACAGCCAAGCCCGCTTCCCACAGTCCTTCCCCGATCCTCTCCATTTCTTCGGGGCTTATGGCGGAACATGTGTAGGTGGATGGCGTGGCCGCGGGGTGGGTGGAGGGTGTGGAGGATGGAGTGGAAGGGGACAGGGGCTGAGACGAGGAGGAAGAGGAGGAAAAGGAGGAAGAGGAGGCGGAGGAGGAGGAGAAATGACGAAATTTGGGGATAACACGTCTCCTGGGCATCGGCCATAAAGAGGGGAATGCAGTGCGTTTGTGCCGTGGCAAGGGTAAGGAGGCAACCACGGGGAGCGAGGAGGTGCAGAAGCAGAATGAAGGTGGAGGTATCAAACCAAGGTGTCGGTGCTTGTGGTGTTGACTCGCCACCCGGCTACTTCCAAAATAAAAGATGCACGGGCGCTTGGGCACTGTAGGGATGGGCACGAACCAAGATCAGATTTCTAATCGATTGAAATATTTAAATCGTCTCAGACTGAGAATCCATGACACCAACCGAGGAAGGTAATCAATCTTGAGCAGCACGCAAAAAGAATGACTTACAGCGCGATGACATGATGCCCTCAGGTGTTGGCGATGAAAGAGTTACACAGCTGGCAGACTCTAAAAATAAAACAAGAGACTGAACGAACAAAAGACGAAGGAGGATTGTTGATGAATGAAACTCGCGTTTCTTACGAGGCATTCTGGGCCTGGGCCTGAATGCGGGAAGTGAAGAAAATCTGCGGCGTGAGTCATGCTATGCTCAGTGAAGGCGCACCTAACCAGAGCCTGCCATATAGTACTTTAAGCGTAGAAGGATCTCAGTGTCGTGAACTTTGATTCTCGTGAAGAAGCGAAATAGCGTGGACCTTGATATACCACACTAATTCAACATACATGCGATAGGTGAGGGTGCACATTCCATCACAAACTTCAAGTCAGCCGTTAACCGCGAAAGCATTAATTTGAAAGACTCAAGTAGAAATGCACTACCGCCTCACATGCAAAAGTACAAGCTGGTGTCATAGAAGTAGCAAGTGCAAAATTTGATAGAGCTGGCCACTGCTCGAAACGGCAAATTAGTTTGAAGCTTGGCCTCGACGGCTTAGGGCTGTGTAACGGCGCGCTCCGCACGGAATGTCTCCTTTGATGGTCCTGCAAGATTGCATAAAGGACGCTTCTCGATACATAGCTGTGGGAAAATTAAATATTTTAAAGTCAAATATAGAGCACGAGGGCTGGTTGAATTCGGAGTATGTGATATTCTGCTGCAGAGAAGCCATGCCTCGCATCTTCCGTACTGTATGAGCGAGTCTTCTGTGCAGGTTACGGGTACCCATGATCAGCGATCATCACTTTGAGTGCATTCTCCTCGGTAGCCATGTTTGCATTATACCGATCAAGTCCTTGATACAATCAGCGAAGAGGGAAATTCAGGTCCGACGCCCGTTTTTTCCTGGGCATTACCCGATGCATCTCCGTTTGAGAATGGCGCCCCTTTTCCAAAAGCTGCTTTCGCTCACGTCTAATTTCGAGCGGTCACCCGATTCATTACGTTCGTCTATCCAAACATCGTCGACCCATTCACTCTCGCATTTTTGGCACATTTACACAGGCATGAAGGAAATGGAAGGAGCGTTCCATTCACAAAGGTCCAGCCTCCTGTATGAGGAGGTGCCAATCCAGGAGGCGGCTACAGAGGACAAGGATGATGCCAAAATGCTATCCTCTTCCATGGGCACGTCTACAAGCGTTTCTGGAAAAATCCGAGGGGGCGAAAATGCTGCTCAAGACAAGATGGAATCCCATGAATTAGTGCTAAGGTAAGCACCGCCAGACCTTAACTTTACTGGGATATTTCCTGTGACGCAACTTTCAACCCGTGGAGGCTTGTGGTGCACGGATGTACTCCCCACTAGTACGTGTCGTCTTCGTGAGTATACCATGGCACCGCCCTCAGTGCCTTATTTCTCCTCTTCTGCCCATTCCCCACTGTTAAAGGGATTGGATTTTAAGCTACGATCGTAGGACTGGTTTGTTTTACCACTTTAACACTCGCACGGGTCAGAGTGAGTGGGCGCTGGAAGAGGAGGAGGAGGAGGAGGAGGGGGAGCACCGAGGTGGTGAGGAGACGGCATTGTGCAGAAAGAAGGTGAGAGAATACCAGAAAGAAAATGTATCGTCCCCACGCACGACAATCTCCATCCGATGATTCTACACATTACTCTCTACCTCTGATGCCTGTCTCACTCCGGCGCCGTTGCAACCCCTCTCTAAGTTGTGGCAATTCCTCGCTCTTCTTTCCCTTTTCCCGCGCATCTTTCTGCAACATTCACTCCTTTGTCATATTTTTCTCTCTATCCCTCCCTCCTTCCACCCTTCGACGCGTATCTGCTTTCCCTGCTGTCTCTGTAGGATGGACAGGAGGGCGACAGGGGGAAGGATAGAAATGAGGGCGGAGAGAAATCGCGCATGTCCTGGATGAAGGAGACACTTTGCTGTAAACGCCTATGCTTGGCATTACTTTGCCGGCTTGAAGGTAAGAAGAAGAGGGCAATAGACGAGGAAGGAGCAAGAAAATTGCAGACTGCTTCTCGCCATATCTCTGCCGTGCATCCGTGTCGTCATATTTATGTTCATGGGATGGCGTGGGCTTCGAGTCAAGCATTGTCTTTCATTTGGAAGTAGCGCTGATTTTATGTCTGTGACTGACGCAGCATGGCCGCAAGCTGATGCGTATTACCTTGTCATATCCTCCCCCCTAGACAATCGGTCGGTAGACCCGCACCAGGACGCTGAGAGTCTCAGGGCGACAAGGCAGGGAGGAGGAAGAAATTGGAAGGAGAGGGATAAGGGAGGAGTTGAATGCAGTGAAGGTGTCAAATGGCAGGGTGAAAGCAGAATGCCGGTTGAGACGAGCTATCGACGTGAAGTATGCGCATGTCAAAATGACATAGCTTATGGAGGACAGCGCGGTCTTACCACTGAAATTTGACACGAATGGGAGCAAAGATCTAGAGGCTGTGCACAGTTTTGAGTATTCTTTCCTTTTAAAATCAAATTTAATGGCTCAAATATTTCATAAAGTATTAAAGTACTTCCGGAAAGACACATTTTATTACAGAACTTGCTCCGAAGGTGCTCGCAAATTTTCAAGGTATTCTTCCGGCACAATTTGTCAGAACTCGTCACAGGCATGCTTTGAGTGGGAGAGACGATTTAATCATGCGCGTGAGATTTTCTCAATGCCTCAACATGGTAGAAGAACTTTGCATCGTTGCACATCAATTTACTTGATTGTTGGCTGCAAATTATTTGTAAATCTTTTACATTTGAGTGGTGTATATTTTGAGTACTATGTTCGGGAATAAAAGAGCTTCCAATGCTCCCCTATGTTCCATCTATCGATACATTGGGGTATTTGGTTATTGAAATTACTGAACGGACTCTGAAGGTAGTGAATCCGCCTAAATTCGTAAGGTGGTTTGAAGGGTTGAAAATTAAGGCTCCGCCACTTGAACCAAGCTTCAAATCATTTCACATGGAGTTCCACAAAGTTTAGCAAGCTTGTTATACGACAGAAAGCGCCAAACCAGGGCCACGTGCCATTTTTCAGTGTAAAAAAGGAAAACATAACCCTACCCCCCCCCTCTACGGAAAAACCGTTACGGCGACCGTTTAAATTTGCTTCGAAAAATGGAGACAGGTCATTCCAACCCGCATGCACACCACCACACGCGTCGGGATGTCGCCATCTTGGACGGCGGGTTCATTGCATGGATGGCGTCTGCTCGAATGGTGGAGATGTCTCTGGGAGACACGATGGCCGGTGGAATGAGGGGTGGAAGGACCCGCCTCCTGAAATCAATCATCATCACCATCATCATCGTCTTCCTCCTTCCTCGTCCGTCGCACGCTTCCTCATACGAACATGATTAGGCGTACGCGGTCATGGAATGCCATGTGAAAGGGTGCTTATCATCGTTGTTTGTACCATCGTGGGCTTCTTTACATTCGAACCATGTGTGTGACTCTGAATTTTGCCGAGTCGTGCAAGACCCTTTATGTGCCCTTCTTTTCCTTCACATGCAGCCGGGCGAAAGGGCTGAAGGCCTGCTAGCTTTGCACGTCCTTTTTATCGGAACCAAGGCTCATTCCACGTCATAGCCATCGTCTACCCTTTGTATATTGCGGTTTGTAAGCGCGTGGAAGGGAGATGGCGGACAGAACGACGGAGTTCAAGGCAATGATTGCATCATTACCCAAGCCTCCTGTTGGCATCCAGGTGAGGATAAAAGTGATGGTATCAAGTTATAAAAAGAACTCGGGAGGAAAAGAGGGAGACTGCGACGGTTGTGATGCACAGGGCCAATGAAATGCCAGGCCCTGTTCGCCTCCCCCACCCATGTCCTCCCTAAAGAGTAGCCCCCTCTCCTCCGCCCGCGCCATCTCCTAGCACAAGGCGTTCGAGGCACTCGGTCCTTGCAATTTTCCTGTTCTCTATTCATTTCCCTTACGGGTGCACGACCTTACTTCCCTCGCAGGATTCTTCTACTGTCT